TTTCATGATATTCCTTGAGATGTAGATGCAGAAGTTGTGTGGTCGATGAATATGTTTGTCTTAGAATGCCTCAATCAGTTATTCTTTGTGTTTTGGCAAATTGTGTTGGTTCTGTAATGGTCTCCATATGCTGCAGTGAGAAATAATCCCTAGCATCCCTGCACACTGCTCCCAAGATGTGGCATCTTAAACCTCTGCTCTAAGACCCAGTGGTAAGAGGACTTTGTAACTGTCCTCTGTCTGTCGTCCTGTCTTCGGTGACTGTGGAGTTTTTACTCAATCTTGAAGTCACACATGACCACTTGTCAGTGCTAGCCATGATTAGGAATTCTCAAGTACTTTATGGACTTCCACCAGTGCCATCCTTCTGGCCTGTGACAGAGATGAAGAATTTCATCCATCTGTGTTGGATGGACATTGTACCCTCAAAGCTCTGGAAGCATCCTAACCACAACAGGAGAAGATTTCCCAGTAAAACCCTGCAGCATTTTTTGACCAACTGTTCCCTGGCGGGTGAGGTGATGGTTTAACCTTTATATTAGCATGGAATTATGAATAATATTTGTGTGAATAAACTGAACATATTAGAATAATAAATTTGTGTGGATATCCTATTTACAAAGCACCTCAAAGCTCACTGGCAGAACTCTCTTTAGAAACCGTGCCTGAACTGGCAACCAGCTAGCTACCCCGAGCTAATGAAACTATGTTTTAGAGAAAAACCTACAGCTGGATCATCACTAAACCTGTATAATTCATAAAAACAGTCTTAATATTTATCCTTATACCTACAGATAAGTGTAGTTCTCATTAATAAAACTTCTCTTTGCAACAGATAGAGACCATTAGAGAAAATCACCACCAATCAGAATGCAGAGTTGTGGAACCCAGTCCCAACTGATATATCTACAGCACAAATCCTGTGCTTAAGGCTCAGAGATGATTGTGGAAGAGGGGACTGAAAGGTTGTAATAGCCAGAGGAATGTGAACTTGCTTTGAGATTGTTCCTAGAAAGGTCAGAAGCTCCATCCATGTAGTCTCAACAACATGGTTGCATAAATATGACCTGAACAGTGATTACTCCAACACACAGGCTAACACAGAATGAGGGGGAGCTCCTAAGTCCTCAGCCCTAGTAAAGACAAATAAGGGTTTCTGTAAGTGGGATAAATAGTCTTTTCAAGAGAAAGACATACCATTGGTATCCAATACCAAATGGTCAGCCCTGAAAACATAAAACATATATCTACAACTAATAATATCACACCAACACACAGCACACACATTTACATTCATACACAGACACATAAACACACGGAACGTAATATACCATGCAGATATGCACTTGCGCATGCTTGCATACATTCACAAACATGGTAAAGAAAAAGAAACCATGACTTTGAAAGATAGAAAGAAAGTATATGGGTGGTATATGGGTATATGGGTGAGTTTGGAGGAAGAAAAAGAAAATGGAAAATGCCATATGGGTATATGGGTGGGTTTGGAGGAAGAAAAAGAAAAAGGAAAATGCCAATGTTATATGAAAGCTGAAAACATATAAAGATAATTAAAAAATTATGGTGATCTGGAGAGGAGGTGGCTCAGTGGTTATGAGCACTGGTTGTTCTTCTAAAGAACTCAGATTCAATTTCCAGCACCAGTTCTGAGAAATCCAAAGTCATTTTCTGGCTTGCATACACCAGACATGTACATACACTTATGCACACCATTTTAAAAAAAGGATTAAGGGTTTCATTTATTTCTACTTGTGAATTATAATATTAATATCTCCCCTTATTTGTTTTACCATTGTCATACTTAAATGTATGAATTGTACATTGTTTTCAAAAAACAAATTAAGAACTTTTATATATTTATCTTACTTTGAAGAATGTTAGTATTATACTTAATGGGGGAACATTTGAATCAACCCAAGAATAAAAGCATTAGAACAGAGGAAATATTTGACTTAATGGTTTTATATTGGTGTTCATTTTCTGCACTAATTGTAGCTTGACCATGATTCCTAGCTTTTCTCAATATTCATAGTACTTCTATAGCTATTGCAAGATGTGTTTTTGAAATGTAATTCTGAATGTAGACATGTTCAGAAATGTTATTTTCTATGTTTTTTTGTTTTGTTTTACCTTTAGATTCTTCTTGCTCATTCCAGTTGTTTTGAATTCCTTTATTCTTGATGATAGGCTAGCAGGAACTCTACCTTGCATTCTTCCTCTCCCTTTCTCTTTCTCTCACTCTCTCTTTGTATGTGTGTGTATTGGGGGTGGAGGGGTGAGGTCCCTTGCATCTGTGAGCCAGATCTTAGTCTGTTCTTTAAAGTTTCACCTTCCAGCGCAATACTCTCTCAGATGTGTCTTTTCTAATTAGCCTTAAGTCATCTCCTTTTACACTTTTTATTTTAGTGAAGGGATCTACAAGAATGCACATATTATAAGTGTTAGAACTCAATTATCACCAAATGAACTCGTTTATCCCATCAGGATCCAGGTCCACATGCAGTACAGCACCACCTCTCAGACATACCTTTGTGCTTTCTCCTAATCCTCACCTCACCAAGCATGCTCATTTTAGCAATACGGTCAGGGTCACCAACTTTTGTAGTTTCCTGCATCAAATCATGAAACATTTAGCACTTATATGGGATTTTTTTCACTTAATATTTTCCATGTGAGATTCAAGTATGCCGCTGCATTCGTGCTATATTTTCTATAAATTTTCACTGTTTGTTATTTTTGAATGGGTATACTTTATTTATATAGTCTACTGTTGATCAGCACTTGATTCTGGTTTGTGGTTTCTATGAAAATACTCAAAGAATGTCTTATTCTGTGCACATATGTCTGCTGTAATGTTATTTGTAATAGAAATTCTCTCTTTCATAATAAAACTAATTTAATTAACAGATTCAACTAGAAAGCTTATCAAACAGAATTATCTGTGCCAATTTAGTAGTACATGAGCATTCTATTTAATATACATTTTCTGAAGGTATTGAATCCTTCAGTTTTCATTTGTCTTTCAAATTTTGATGATATTTACTGATATATTACTCAGTTGTTTAAATGGGCAATTTGTTTGATTCTGAGGGTCTAAACTTGAAACATAACTACTCCTTTTCAGATACTGAAAGTTTATACAACCCACAAGTGAGAATCAGGGATGTCTGTCCAGGGAGAGTTTATTCTTTTATGTCTGGTGACAGAAAATTGAAATGGGTTGATGTATGGGCAAATGATTTATAGAAGTAAATATAGTCACATTAATCTGCCTGAGATGTACCTATAGAAAAACAGAAATGGTGAAACTGGGAAACTAAGATATGAAAGAGGCAAAAATCAATCAATGTTGATAATTATTTAGCTTTGTAAAATGAAATTATCCTCTATCACTACAAGGATTCTAAAATAAATGGGTATGTTTTAGGACTACAATAGAAGACATGGGAAAATAAATTTCTCTAGGAAGACAATTGAATTAATTGTGTTTTATTTGTTTGTGTTTGAATTTTCAGTAGCACTTTTAGATGGAGAAGTTTGATGTTTGTTTGACACCTTTGACATGGAAGAGATGATCAGAACTAGTATTAGGAAGACTGATATTGAATCAGTAAATACTATTGATCCTAATGACAAAATATTTAAAAGCAATTGCATTAGGATTCTCATAAGATATGGTTCAAATAATTGTGAGTGAGAATAAGTCTATCAAGCTACATTGACAAAAAGGGACCACCTAGAGCAATGATGTAATTGTTCCTGCATTACTTGAATAAGTTGATATATGTGAAGAATATATTGTTTTCATCATATATTAGGTTGGCAGTGGAGAGGTAGAAAAAGTAATAACTTCAGATCTCATATCTTAATATGCATTTTCTTAAGTTAGGAATGAATGTCTACTTTGTATAAAGTAACTTCTATAGTTTCTTTTCAAATCCTAAACAATAATTGATGAACTTTCTGAGGGATTCTATGAGAAGAGAAATGGTAATTACTTTAGTTACTTTTCTATTGCTGTGAGAAAGCACAATTATCAAGGCAACTTGTAAAACAGTTTATTGGGGCATATATTTTTAAAGGGTGAGTCCATGACAATCACAGAGGGGACCATGGAAGTAGGTGGGCAAGCATGGCACTGAAACAGTAGCTGAGAGCTGAGAGCTCATCCCCAAGCAAGAGGGAGAAAGCTAGCTAGCTGGAAATGACATGAGCTTTTTAAACCTCAAAATAATATACCAAAATGATAAGATCACACTTCCTAATTGTTCCCATGTATTTTAATCAACTGCAGGCCAAGTATCCAAATTTATGAGCCTTCGAGTCCCATTTTTGCTTAAATCACCACAGTGATGTAACTGGCTGTGTTATGGTGAGATGCAAAGAAGAAATAACATAGGGACCTGAAAAGGAATTAGAGAATTTGAAAGAAAGAGTGAATTTCAAGAAGCCAGTAGATTTAGAAGGGAACAGCACATGCTTATGGTGCTGAAGTGGGAACAAACAGAAATGAGACTAAATATAAAAGACTTTTAACTAGATGTTTAGATTCTTAGGTCTAAGTAAAAAAAAAAGTGACAATAATAACAGAATCTACCTTTGAAGCCAACATTTTCAAATTTGTTTTTCACTTTTCCTAAAGATGCTATTATTTGGCATAAGAAGTTATTAATTCATTTTTTGTAGGAATAAAATAATTGATGAAGTAGAAGTAATTCCTTCTTTTAATTTTTTGAACACTTAAGGTTCTTAGAACTATTAGAATTTCATATGTATTACTTTAGTTTTTAGCTCAGGAAACTAAAAGTATCTATTTTATAGATATGTAATGGGTTTAGAAAAACTAATTCAAAAGATATGTGAAGTGGCTGGGGTACACATTCTGGGTATAGTCTTATAAACCTTTTGTTCTAATCACTACAAGTTAGTAAAAGTATATCCTCTGGGGACCTCTTCTAAATTCTCTACAATTTTGTTAACAGGAAATATTCCCTGAAGAGAGACAGAGAGAGGAAAAACCCCTGACCTCTTGGAAATTAAATGGAAGACACAGAAAAGCTTAAATGGTAACATTGTAACATTGCCCCTCCAGTTTCATTTACAGCTTAATTGTGACACATTCTACATTTGCCACTAACACAACATAACAACATAGAAATTAGAACCACTAGTGCTTATTTAAGTGGCAATTGTCCATGGATTCTTGTTCTAAAGACTGTTACTAAAACATCCTGTAAGCCAATTGCTTCTCCAAAGAGCTCTGCTTCATCACAAGATGGTGCCATTAGGCTATAATGATAAACACTTTGTGTATGTACAAGACTGTCAGCAACAAGCTACAAACAATTCGCCTATACATCATTACACAGTTGATAAACTAAACCAACCTTACAGCCAACCCATGTGCAAAGAACAATCCCAAAATACAGTCACGGCGTCCCCAGCAAGCTTTAACAAGAAGGCCCAGAGCTTCTCTGCATTTTCTCCTCTGAACTCTACAGGGACTCAAGGCTCCTATCATAGGGCTATGAAATCATCATCATCATCATTATACTCCAAAGGCTCACCAACAGCTTCAAAAGACTCCCTCTTGAAATGTTCATCACATCCCTCTTGGAAATCCTTGGACTCGTCTTGGTCTCACCACAAATCTCAGACTTCTACAACTAGCTTTACCAGTACTTCATCTATGGAACCTAGCAAAGTAAGTCCGAGATCAAGGTTACCCCTCCCGAAGACACAGACATCATCAGGTATTGACCTTTGCTGGAAATCACCTTCATTGGAGTCTACTCAAAGAGTCTCAACATCATCTTCAACTTCCCTCCAACATCACGAAACACCTTCCCTAAATATCATCTGGACTACACCTTCTTTGGAATCTAGTCAAAGTGAACATAACTCACAATTATGCAAATCTAAGCCACAAAAGGATTCCTCATTAGACCGCCTTTGGTCATCTTTATTAGAGTCCAGTCAAAAAGCATTGAGCTCACCATCATCATTTACCAACAAACTTCAAAGAAACAGCTTTCCTCCAACTTCATCTTCTCTTGAATCCAATAGAGTGGCTCAGAATTCATCATTATTTGACTGTAAGCCTCTGAAAATTCCTGTATCAAACTCTAATAACAATGTTTTTAGTTTACCATTGTCCCAAGCAAAATCAAGAAAATCAGCTCCATTACCACATTCTTTCATGCCATCTCGGAGTTCATCAACCTGCCAGCCCAAACCTAAAGTAATAGCTAGATGTGACCCTAGCACCCGGGCTGTCAATGCAACTGTTTGCCACCCCAAGGTCCAGAATACTGCTTCACTCAGTGACAAACAAAGACCTCGTCAGCTACCAACAATTCATCCTAAACCAAATATCTCAGGCCAAAGAATATCAAGTCCTAAGCCCTGTATCAAGAACAAAAGTGCTTCAATTCAGTCTTCCAGACTGCCGAATAAATGTAGCTTTGAGAAAAGTATGAAGTCACAGCCAGAGAATGAAATCCTGTGGTCCTTAGATTATAGTCATCCCTGCATTATTAAAGGTGGTAGTGTTCCTGTTGATGTTGTAAATAAAATTGTCAATTCCATCTCCAAGTCTACAATCCAGAAGGATCTCTCTAGGCAAATTCTCTTTCGGAGAATGAGAGGAAAGCCAAATCCTCGTCCGGGTCCCCGCCTTTCATCAACATATTCTGTTTGTTTAGAATGTGCTTCCGCTATAAAATCTCAGTGTAACCATCTTTCAGGAAAGAGAGATCCCCGATGCGCAACACTCTTTGTCATACCAACACCCGAGAGTGGCACTGATGGAAAAGCAGACGTGAAAATAATCCTTATCCTCTCTCTACCAGAGACGCCTTCCTCATCCTGTTTCCAACTTCCTATGAAAGACAGTCAATCTGATAATAATTTAGAAGCCATCGATGATAATCTGGAAGTATTAGAGAAGATAACACAGTTTTTCCCTGCATCTGAATCTGATTTTATCCAGGGGCTGAAGACAAAGCGAAAGTGTTTGGCTGTATCCTCCGAGAGCAAAGTTATAAGCCAAGAGCCCCAGTCTATTGACTGGCTGCTGTACGTTAAAAATAGTAATGGTACTCAGTCCCAAACCCAAGTTCAAGGCCCATCCTCCTCCTCCTCCTCGTCCTGCTCCTCCATTTCCTCCTCTTCCTCCTCTTCGTCTACTGGACATCCCTCTCCACCCTCTCCTTGCATAGATCCCACTCCTGTTCCTGTTTCAGGCTATGTTCTTGCAAAGGTGAGAAGTTACCACCGGCTACCTCCAGGGACCTCCTGGCTTGAGTTCATAAGGGGTTCAAATTCTGACACCACCAAACTCAGACAATCACCATCAGTCAAAAACAAGCCTGTGAGGTCTCACAACTCGAAATCCTTGAAAAAGGGGAGAAGGGAAACCAGCGCACTGCTCAGATATTTCCAAACAAAGTTTCAAAATGAGAAATCCTGATTAAATCAACTTTCTGTCTCTTTGAAACCAATGATTTTTCTAGTTCTTTGACACTAATGCCTGTTTCTCTTACCATGCTTACTTATATTCTTGTTAAAAAATTATGATTCTGTATGACAAAGCATCTACTCAAGGAGAAATATTATTTTTAGAATGTATTTGTTAGTTGGAAGATAAACTTGTATCTTTTAAAAGCTGAACACTGAATTCTACATTTTTTTTGTTTTGTTTTATTTTTCGAGACAGGGTTTCTCTATACAGCCCTGGTTGTCCCGGAACTCACTCTGTAGACCAGGCTGACCTCGAACTCAGAAATCCGCCTGCCTTTGCCTCGAAAGTGCTGGGATTAAAGATGTACACCACCACTGCTCTGCAAATTCTACATTTTTAACAGAATTTCTTGCTTATTGCAGAAACTGTGTAAATGCTAATGAATAAGTTTATGGCCAAATATCAGAAATATTCCTCCCACTTGGTACTGAATGTTATGTTGTTATTCTCCTTTATAAGATATATTAATAGCAGTATTATTTATTTTTGTTATTTTATTTATTTACATTTCAAATATTTTCCCCCTTCTCATTTTTCCCTCCACAAATCCCCTATACCCTCCCCCTCCCCCTGCCTCTCTGAGGGTGCTCCCCTACTCACCCACCTACTCCTGCCTCAGTGCCCTAGCATTCCCCTACCCTGGGTCATGGAGCTTCCACAGGACTTAGGGGGCTCCCCTCCCAGGGATAGCTGAGGAGGCAATCCTTTGCTAACAGTATTCTTAGGCCAATATATGCAAATCTGTTTTCTAGCTCTAAGGAAAGTTCAGGTCTCACTCCATAGGTGTGATCATACACAAAAGGAATCAGTTCAGTTATGAACTTGCAGACTTTTCAGACATGGGTTTTAATGTTGCTTGCTTATTACTTTCATTTATGCAGCCATTGTGTTGATAAGAAGAATGTCTAAAAATGTGCTTCATTTCCAAGATCTACCAATAGATTGCCTGTAGCCCCAAGGCTGATGATCAGTACCTATAATAAGACTTAGTAGTTTACAAACTTGTTTCTCCAGCCCAAGACATCTCAAACTCAACATGACCTAGACATCATTCTTCATTTTTACAATGATAATTTCCATCTTTACCTAGTCACGTGGAACTGTTTTCACTACCTGTCTTTTACCTAGGTCATTAACTCTGTAGAATTATTGTTGCTAGAGTCTTTTGCCCCCACCCATGTTACTATCATAGTTTATCCTAGTCATGATCATAGATATACATAATTAATAATTCTCCATTGCCTATAATTTAAATCAGTCATTGTCTTTTATTTCATGGGTGTTTAAATTCCTAGATGAAGCATGATAATTTTTTTCTAAAAATTTTAATAATCCTCATCACCATTTATTATTATTATTGTTATTATTAATTATTATTATTAATGTGTACATGTTTGTGTGTGTACCATAGCACTTATAAATGGAGAGTACAAGACAATTTTCTGGAATCAGTTCTCTGTTTCCCCCTTTATGTGGGTTCCAGAGATCAAACTCATGTCAGTAGGCTTGCGTAGCAAACTGCATTTACCACCTGTATTAATCATTAATCCATTGCTCTGAAGAGGTCCTGTGACCAAGGCAACTCTTAGAAAGAAATCATTTAATTGTAGGAATTATAGTTTTAGAGGCTTAAGGTCCATGATCATCATGGTGGAAAGCAAACAAGCATGGCACTGGAGCAGTAGTTGAGAGCTTTGCATCCTGATGGGTAGGCAGCAAGGAGAGGAAGAAAGAGAGAGAGAGAGAGAGAGAGAGAGAGAGAGAG